TTGAGGTCCGAGTTACAAGTGTTCTCTTTCTTACTTTATTCTATTTACTTTCTTTCTTATCACATCGTCTTCCACACAGTCCATCCATCGCTTTTTCGGCCCTCCTCTACCCTTATAACCGTTCACATTAATATGTAACACCTTCCTTAAAATATTATATCACCGCCTGTTGATGTCAGGCAGGCGGTCATAAAAATCTGACCCAAGATCATCCTCTCGTAATTTGCTCAGTTAATAATTATAGTAATGAAATTGTTACAGAAAATCAGAACACGACTAAAACTTAGTTTCTAAACTACTTTCCACCATTATACCTGGCTAATGCTTAAAGCCGGTGTAACTTTAAAATTACGACAAAAATCCTGAGACATACACACACGTAGCAGCATAATAAAAGTGTACAACAACTTTGTGAAAACAGGCGGTTTACGACGCGGAACGGTGGGTGCATACGGCACTATCTACCGTCGACCAGCTCGATCTAGACCCGCGGCAGCATGTCAAAGCCAAGGTCAAGTAAGAGTCAACTTAGATCTCACTTCTTTTGTCGTTGAAGTCAACAGCCAAGGCATATATCATAATGTTGAACTTGGCTATCATTTCACATTTATGTTTTTGATGGGATAGAATAGAATAGAAATTCTTTATTCAAATAAACTTAAATTAAGCATTTTTGAATAGTCATAAGATTTTTTTAATCTACGACTCATTCGGAAAGCTGTCTCGTTACAAGAAGAACGAGCAAGAAACTTGTGTGTTGCTCTTTGAAATAATCCTTGTAAGTTCATATTTTCAAGTCGAATCGTGTGAATACAAACCACCAACTATCTTTATTATATTATTAACCGGGTTTTAACACGAACTAATTTCTTGGCAAATAAAGGTATATTAAATACGAAAGCTTAAAAAAAATCAACAACTATCTTAACCTAACTAGATATCTTTTGACAGCATCGAATTGGGGCTATATGGAAATCAGGTCAACAGAGATAACGTGTCAGATCCAAAAGTTAAACCATTGAAAGCTGCAGCCGAATTTTTTCAAATGGCAGTAGTGTTGTTATATGGAATTGAAAGAGAATAGATTTCCGTTGTATTATGGATAAGTTAAATAAAATATGAAGAATCCCAAAAAAAAACCCAGATTAGTCAGTGCTTTCATGTTCTCCATATTTCTGAACGGTGCGAAGATGTGGATCCTGCGTGAAATCGAGAAGAAAAAGATAGATGTTTGGAAGAGATTAGATTTCCGTTGTGTTATGGAGAAGAAAAAAAATATTGAGGAAGCGACAAATAATAAAGAATACAAAACCTAGATTAGTCCGTACATTCTAGTTCCCAATATTTCTGTACGGTCCGTAGACATGGAGCCTGCATGATATCGAGAAGAAAAAGATAAACGCTCTGGTAATGTGGTGCTGGAGAAGAATGCTTATATTGTGGACTAAATATAGTACAAATGTTTCTATATCGGCAGAACCATCATCATCTGCTTCTTCCGTATCCCATTTATTTGTGGTCGGCGTAATATGCTTTTCTCTTCCATTCATCCCTGTTCGCAGTCATCTCATTATTTACTTCCTTTCTTACCATATCATCTTTCACACAACCCGTCCGTCTCTTTTTTAGCCTCTGCCTTTATAACCATCCACAGTCATATGTAACAGCTTCCTTAGGAGATGATCTTTCCTACGCATCCTACGCATTACATGTCCATACCACGATAGACGATTATTCTTCAACCTCTTCGACACCGGCGCTGTTTTACTCGGCAGAACCATTTGTCCTAAATTCAGTCCACGATCCTCTAAATTTGGCATTACAGAGCGTCTATCAGCAATAACATAATCGCACATACTTACTTTCTTTGGTCACGTCTAATGAAGGAACGATGCAACCATAGAGCAGCTTGTATTACAGGGTAAAGTTGACGGTACTAGACTCCGTGGACTATCACCCATGCGATGAATCGACCAAGTCAAAGCAGCGGCAGGCGGTCCACTCCACGAGTGTACCGGAGTAGCAGTCAGTAAGACAAAAGGCGAATTGTCGTACACCGGATGACATCAGCCTTACATACCCACTATATAATGATCACGACCGTTCTGTCAAGAACGTATCGAATGAGAAGGTTTCTGTTTCGTCATATGGTAAATTGTGAATGACGCCTACACCTATGTAAATTGCAGTATATGAACAAATTGCTAGATATATCGAAAAGGCGCTGATATGTCGGTTCATTTTATGACGGACTAAGTGTGGTACAATTTTTCTCGGCGAGACTTTGTGCAAAGTTGTCTGCTATGTTGTTTATTTATATCAATTGTGCAGTAGTTATCTTTGTAAACTGTGTTTCTGTTTCAGATTTCAGCATGATTTGGACTGATTTAGAGACTCGCAGATCAGTGGAATATAGGCAAATTCAGTGATACGTTCACTACAACGTCAACAGTTAACGATGCTCTGACTAGTGAATCTGGGATTACAGTCGTGACTAATTATTATTATAGGATTCTGAAAGATCAATATTTGTGTTTTTTGTCTTTGTAATTCCATGAATTTATATCGTGTAGAGTCAAAACTACTTCATAGACTTTATCTTTCAAACCAAATTATGATTCGAAGATTATATGGAACTGTTCACGTAATTATCTAAAGGAAGTAAGGTAACGGAGTAGGTTCTGGATATAAGTAATGCAGAAAAACTCTTTTTAATTCAGTAAAAATCGAAATGGCATTGCTATCTCCAAAATGTATATCTTGGCAGACGTTGCAAACAGGTGTCTGTAATATCGTATGTCAAGATTCCTCCGGCCGAGTAGTATTGGAATTGTGTGGGATAACTCTTATCATTGTGAATACATGTAGCAACCTCATGTCTAACTCAACTCAAAGGGCAAAACGGTTTTTATAGGATTTATGATGGCAAACAACGTCGACGGCCAACTAAGCTTAAAGTCCCCACTTTTCTGTTGATATACCAGATGATTTAGGTATTATTGCAGAATGTAAAATTAGTAAATCCTTCTAGTAAACTAAATAAATAAAATTTGAATATGACGCATGTTATATAACACTTTAGTGTATTGGATTAGTACAGTAGTCTACATTATATAAAAATGTCTATACGCGACGAATGCTATTTACCATAAAGTGAACTAGTTTACTATTCCAGTTACCTCCAATTTATTATAAATTTTTTTTAACCCATTACGTCCTAAATGATCAGAATTTGCCATTCAACTTTGAACTGTTGCCGTACAATGAATGAATCTGGAACCATTGTACTTTATCAGAATTGTCTAAAATAATGTTTAACCATGACAAATTTTGATATAACCTAAAAAGTAGGTGAGGATTTTTCATCGCAACTATACCTTACTTCTTCATTTAACGATTAAAAAACTAGTTTCTAAACCTACTAGAATTCCAATACTATAAGTAAAATATACTGCTATATTTTTTTTGTTTTATTTATTAATAATTAGTAGTTACATATGACTTCACATCCATTTTTAAACTTGAAACTTGTTATATTCTCTATGTTCCATGTCTGATGTTTTTCTCTTCCATTCATCCCTGTTCGCAGTCATCTCGTTATTTATTTCCATTCTTACCATATCATATTTCACACAGTCCATCCATCTCTTTTTCCTTCCTCTGCACTTTTAACCATCAACATACATATATAACAACTGCTAATCACCTTTTCACAGATATACTTACGCGATTATAATATAAGTACAAATCAGTATGGATACGATATTTAAGATTATTATTATTTATTAAGATAGAGATGACGACCTCGGTGGTCTAGCGGTCTAGCATACTGCTTTACGTCCGATGGTCGCGGGTTCGATTCCTCGCACAGCACATACATTTGTATTCATCAGTATGATTGTTTGTATCAGTCTGGGTGTTTTCTATGTATAGTATGTATGTATTTACAAAAAAATATCTATGTATTTGTATTAGTTGTCTAGTACCCATAACACAAGCTTTAGCTAGCTTAGCTTGGGTCTAGATGGCGCTGTGTAAATTGTCCTGAGATTATTATTATTATTTAACAGCAGCAACACATGTTCGAGGTTTTCCGTATCTGTGTATACCATCTGTAAGTCTTCAACGCAGTTGATGGGAACTAATGTTGCAAAGCTTTTAGTCTTTCCCCCGCACCACTCCTCCCCTGCACCCCTTCTTACCACCTGTCGTACCAACAATCCTCATTATGCATTACACAACCATTATATTGTTGTCTTTTAAAACTAAAGTTTATAACAGTGTTATAACGCGAATTAAAAAAAAAGAAATAATGTTAGAAATTTTTTACCTGTATTTTTAATTAAAAACTATAACCTACTCCTAACTACCTTTTTTGTCATTATTATTGTGTCCAGAAATTCAATAAATTCTATTTTATTCTTACTATGATAATTTACTAGCTACTGGCCCCGGCTGTACATGTATAATATATACAAACCTTCCTCTAGAATCACTCTATCTATTAAAAAAAACCGCTTCAATATCCGTTGCGTAGTTTTAAACATTTAAGCATACATAGGGACAGATGGACAGCGACAGCGGCTTTTTTATCATGTAATGAATAAGCAGGTTAATTATTATATAAAGTTAATAAATTAATTTTTGAAAGAAAACAACGTATTATTATAATTAATTTATTAAAACACTTACCAAATATTTCAAATTATAATGATCCTATGTATAATATCTTAAATAACTTGTATTGCAAACAATTTAGTTATTTTATTACTTGTTTTAAAATTTACGTTTAATAGAAAATTTATATTTCTGTAGTTACTTCTTTCTTTGACATTTTTATCTGGTATGATTGAACTTAAAAACAATTGTGATGTAAACTCCACACATTATAGAGCCTCACTTCTGTCTTCCTAGTTCTTGCTTGTATATTGTCACGGCAACAGATTGTATTTCAGCCCTTCTTAATTAGCAATTATTTTTAATGGAATATGTTTGACTTTTTATGGTACTTCAACAATTGGCTTGCCACCTTCTATTTCCCAAGCTGTACCACTGACAGCATTCTCATAAACATCTACAGCAGCTTTGCCAACCGAATCTGGCAATTGCCAAGGGCAGTTATTCTTCATAAAATCAATGTAATGCCTAATAATTGCTGGATCTACAGTGATTTTATCTTTACTGGCTAATGAGGTTTTCGTGAATCCTGGACATAGAACTACGACTCGCACTCCAGTTATATCATAATTAAACGAATGTCCAATAGTTCTGGAGAAGCCCATAATTGCATGTTTCGTGCCTTTGTAAACAGGTAAAAATTGATCTCTTCTGTATCCACAAATTGAGGATATATTTATAATTGTACCTCCTTTTCCTCCTTTATCCTTTCTCATGTGCTCCCATAATTTGAACGTCCATTCGAACACAGCTGTTACATTAAGAGCTACTGTCTTTCTGACCTGTATTTCATCAGTTATGCCAGCGTTATTCACTAATACATCTACTGTGTTGTATCTATCTATGATTTCTTTAGTTACAGCTTCAATGTCAGCAGTAACATCACATTTTATGAAAACAGCTTTATTGTCACCATACTTAGAATTTAGGGTTGCCGCTGCTTCTGCGCCAAGTTTCTCATTAATATCCAATATGATTACTACTTTCGGTTCTTTCTCTAGATAGGCATTAGCGATTGCATACCCTATACCTTCAGCGCCGCCGGTGATAACCACAACTTTGTTTTTTAATGTTTGAGTCATATTAGCACACGTTATCTATTGAAAATTTATAGGTCGATGATGTTACACGTCTTTAATATAAACAGCCCAATATTTAACACACACATCTATTATATATTTTTATTTATCAATGAATAATTATCTTATCATTTATCTCTAATGTTCTAGTAATGTGTGTACTAAATTTGCACGCACAATGTACTTAGTTGTGTAATTATCAATATCGATTAAACAAATTAATTTTAAATACTACTACGATTAACATTAATTTTTCATTATTGTTACTTGATAGGGTATGAATATGGTAGTTTTGTCTGTGGTTCCTTATAATATAATATGTCTTTATGTTTGTTTAACGTTTTTATTACTGTAGAGGGCCTGTACAGAATCGCCTGCTTGCATATCTCAGAGGCATCAGTGGAGACATCTACTTCTCGGGAATGGCAACGTCTGGTACGTGGTGCTACCACGGGCATCATAATATCATTATGTACTTTTTTTTTACTACTCTATTGCTGTTGGCCGCAGCTGGCCTTTATAGCTTCACCGGACGTTAGGGGGCCAGTGCAGGCGCTCCAAACCAGCGAGCGAAAGCCAACTCTCGCCGGAGTATACGACTTTAGTCTGAGGGCACCGCTGGGGGTTCGAACCTCGGCGTAGGCGACAGGCGACGTAATTTCGATCCCCATTTGAATTGGACGGGGGATGCATCGGATGGGGTAATTATGTCCGTGATTCTATTCTTATACATATAAAGGCGACGTTTATGACTTAGCATCAGGTGGGCCGCAAGCTTCTTTGCTATTCGAGTTACGTAATATATACGTACATATATTTTTCTTCCTAACTTTTGCGACTTAAATTCGATATTTATAAAACTTTCCAGGAAGTAGCTGATTTCCATAAAGAGATAACAAGTTGAAAATATTTTTTTCTACGTATCTCAAACTTTCGGAAGAAAAATTCTTTTCTCATTGGACCACATCAAATCATCGTTTAGTTGACAATATAGATGTCTTTAACCCTCGATGAGCCTATGTATTTGTCTAGGCCAGGATAGGGGAACCAATGGCACGAGTGCCATTGACGGCACGCGACACAATATTTCGGGAACGTCGTCAGTCATAAAACTGTTTGAAGAAACTGGCTCATGCTATTTTAACAATATTTTCACCTACCTATGCCTGCAAGTCATTATTTTCAGAGATGAATAACATTAAAAACTCTGTTAGAATCCGTTTGACAGATGAATCCAGTTCAGCATACATTTTGCTAAAAGTAACATCGTACAAGCCTGACATAAATTATTTGTCATCTAACCTGCAGCAACAGAAGTCACACTAATGTTACAGTAATTTAATTTATGCGTGTAATGAAAACAATCCTAAATGTACCTCTTTTGTTTACTTTATTTCATAGAGAGTTTTGATAGCATTTATTATTATTATTTTCCAAATAATCAGAAAGTCAAAATTATTTGATGGCACGTCAATGACCCCATTAAACATTTTTTGGATAAAATGGCACGTTGATGGTCACGTGAATGGTCTAGGCAATCTACATGCCGGTGTACTGTTTTTGATGTGTTTTTTACAGAAAACAGAAAAGAAGTTGGTAATTACACAACGCCAACGGTGTTGTGTAAGTTATCTGGAATTATTTTTCGTTAATTTACTGTTATAATTTATTAATTGTTAATAAATTAGTGTACTCAGATACTGTTATGAGTAATTAAGGATGTTACTGAGTTATTAATCTTATAAGATTTATTACTTATGTTATCATTGCAATTACGATAAAAGTCTGTTTATTCCATTTATGTGTACACATTTCTTTAATGTGAGATAATGGATTAATGCATCCTTTTATTCTAAAGTGGTATACCAGGGCACCAGAGATGATAAGAGATCATAAGAGCTGGAGAAATTCCAAAAATCGCAAGGTGTACACATTTTTTTAATGTGTGATAATGGATTAATGCCTCCGTCTAAGCTAATGGTATACCAGGGCTTCCCAGATGATAACAGATCATAAGAGCTGGAGAAATTCCAAAAATCGACATAACGATTGGAATGATTTCGGTGGACATCACCCCCACATTTCGGTCACCTCGTGAGCCAGGTTGAGGTATTTTCTCTGTATGTATTATTATTATTATTAAAGGACCCTAAAACATAATCTACATGCACTCCGGCAAATATTTTGTTATCTCTATCGTGGATTAACTAGAAATGTCTAACGGATTTATGTAGTAGGTTTATAGTATTACCCATTATCCAACCAACAAAACACTAAGATATGTATGTATAGATAGTGGTGCCAGATTAGGGGCTTTTCCACAAAATTTGGGTATGTTAAGGCGATGCAGAACATTTGGGGGTAATAAATAAACTACCCTGGATACAGCGCCATCTAGTAATACTGTAAGCAGAATAGAATAGAATATTTATTCAAATAAATTTACATTGAAGTACTTTTGAATAGTCATCACATTTTTTTTAATCTACCGCTCATTCGGAAAGCTTTTTCATCACAAGAAGAACGAGGAAGAAACAGCGTGTTGCTCCTTGCAGAGCTTCTATTATGGGTACTTGACAACTGACATAAATACTTAGATATTTTTGTACATACTCATAAAAACACCCGGACCGATACAAACAATCATACTCATGAATACAAATGTTTGCATCGTGCGAGGAATCGAACCTGCAACCATCAGATGTAAAGCGGCCACCGAGACCGTCCGAGAAGCGTTTAGAGGGTTATGTGGTGTCAGAAAATTGAAGTTAGAAGTAAATGATGGCCTGTAGGTTCTTAATGAAGCATTTATTTATTGGAAAATGTTAACTAATAAATAAAACGATTTTATATGAATTTTGAGAAGGTTTCGGGAAAACTTGGCAAAATGGGGGAAAGCAAGACAGTCATCTGGTAACACTGATAAGTCGTCTAGTCTCATAGGATGGGTTATATTAGTTTTTGATAGGCATATTGTCAGTTGATTGATTTTTATGGTGTAACATGCCCTTTATGGTGTGCTGACATACTTTATGAACTATAAAAATGTCCTACATCATGAGAGTGACGTGGACTAGTGGTTTATAACCTAGGAAAGGTCGTGAGTTCGAATGTGGCTGACATAAATTAACTTTGTTTATCAATTTATATGTTAACATATTATGAGATGGGCAGGTATTTGTACCCGTATTAATAAGTATATATATTATATGTATATGTATATATATATATAATATATGTATATTTCCGTTGTGTCACTTAAAATTACTTATTTTAAACGGCAATGTGCGGAACGAGAGCCTGTCTCGCTCATAATGTGTTAATTGACTCTCCGATGATGGTAATACCAGTAACAAAAAAAATTGAAGACGATAGAAGGCCACGTTCATATAGACTGATTTCAACTTAATCCTCATTTTTTTATTGTTGTTTTTGTTTTGTTAATATGTGTCATTACATAGTATAAAACAAAGTCGCTGTCGCTGTCTGTCCGTCCCTATGTATGCTTAAATCTTTAAAACTACGCAACGGATTTTGAAGCGGTTATTTTAATAGATAGTGTGATTCATGAGGAAGGTTTATATGTATAATATATGTACACCCGTGCGAAGCCGAGGCGAGAAGCTAGTATACTATAAACATATATATAGTATAGTATTTATATGTGTATTTGTGTTATATACAAACAGTAAAACAAAAAAACAATATACTAATTAAGTTGAAATGATGTTTGTAACATAAAAAGGTCAGTGACTCAGCTTATTGTTTCGCTGTGAAACGTGAACAATTCACACGTTTTATAATACAAGCGTTGCAATCAATAGTCAAGTCATACGACCCATCCGATGGTAAACGGTTACAGCAGCCTAAGGACGCATGAATCCCCAGCGCGTTGTCTCTCGAGAAAACCTCGGCAGGTAGTTCATTCCACAATCTAAGTGTACGCGGGAGGAAGCTCCTCTGAAACCGCACTGTTCGAGACCACTTAGGTTCCAGCGTGTGGGGATGAAGAGCGTGTCGATGGAGAGCGATTCGTAAAACGTAGCCGTGGGCATCATGTCGAACAATTCCTCAGAATACAGTCCATTGTATATTCGGTAGAACACACAAAGCGATGCGAAGTCTCGCCTCAAACTAAGTTCCATAACACTATCTCTGACCACCCCATTAGGCTAACAATCGTGATGGTATATAACTATTATCCTTACAAAGTAAGGTCCTTTTTGGTATCGCACAAATTTGAACTGAGGACTTTTCGGTCTAAACCACTGCGCCATGACGCTCTCAACTCTTGTATGGAGTTAATTTCCAATAAGTAGGTAGGTACGTATGAAAGTAATATATTTCAGAAACAGGATGCATACCCTAAATGTCGCTTGAGCGATTACGTATAAAGGCGTAAGTTATAAACTTTGAGCGAGTTTATTACATTATTAAATTGTTGTGTAATTAAAATAAATCATCTAAGCCTGAAATATAGATTATCCACAGTGGTATAATGTATAAATATGTATAAATATAAAAAATAACACACGCATATAAATAATATTCAAACTATCTATATAATGACATATATATATATATGTATAATATACATCTAAACTACACGTAATAACGTAACTATTAGTATTAACATTTTTTTTTATAACACAGGGGACAAACGTACATGCGGCTCACCTGATGGTAAGTGATTACCGCCTCCCATGAGCATCCGCAACTCCTTGGAAATTGCAAGTACGTTATCGGCCTTTTAAAAAGGAATAAGCTCTTTTCTTGAAGGTTTCAATATCGTATCGGTTCGGAAATACCATTGCTGGAAGGTGATTCCACAATGTGGTTGTGCGAGGCAAAAAGACAATGTATATATATATATATATATATATATATATATATATAAAACAAATAAAACACTTCCAAAACATTCACCATACTCTGTTAAAGCGAGTGTAACCCGAAAGCGCAAACGCAGAAGCTAAAAGAGTTACAAAAATATGTTCAATAAA